AGTTAAGCGTGCTTAGGCTGGAGTAGTTCTAGGATGGGTGACTGGGAAGAATAAATCCGTGCGGGCGTGACCCAAAGCGGACAATATCGATGACGTGTAAAGGGTCGGGGCGTTACATGATTTCTAATGAGAAACCTCCTAAAAGTTTCATACCCTCATTCTAAACTTATTGATTTTTCAATTTATAAAATAGAGTAAAAAAACCTATTGGCAAATTTATTTATTTAATTATTTTAGAAATAATAATTATTCATTAATTTATGGACTTCAAATGGGAAGATAACAAAAATATTTCATAATCTCGCCATCATAATATCTCTCACTGATTTCCAAAAAAAGAAAATATTAAAACTTGTCATCCTTTTCTCTTTCCCAAAAACTCAGATAATATTTTTCATAAAAGTTGTGGATATTTATCTATATCTTATATATTATATTTAATATAACAAAAAAAAAAAAAACACTAAAGATCAGATATACAAATTGATAAAATCAATAAATTTGATTTTTATTTATTCAGTTAAATTTTTTATTTTGGATCTCAATATCCAAAAGCTATGTATTTTTCTTTCTTTTTCTTTTTAATTCTATTTTTTTAATATGTAGAATGTTTACAGATGGACCTCAATTTTTTTTTTCATAATCTGATGTAGTCATAAGTGTCAATTTTTATACAAATATGAGAAGAGAATTAATTAAATTATACATTTCAACCAACCATATACTTAAACTTTGACTATTTCAAGATGTTATTTCACCATAATTCCAATTAAGAGAATCTTCAACCCTTAATATTTTTTTTATCAAATTATAATTTGATAAAAATTTTAAAAAATGAAACGTTGAATTTTTTTTTTCCCATCAAAATTGGTGGAAAGAAAAAACAAATTGGGATAAGAATGAAAGTTCTTTTAAAAATTGATAAAAATTTAATGAAAAAGTTGGAGTAATTCATGTCATATCAAAATTTTTATTCAAATTTAAAATCAAATTAGATTAAAAGAAATTAAAAGAAAATGATGAAAGTTTGAAAATATTTTGAAAGCTTCTTATTCTCAAAGACTAGAAATTCGTGTGTGTATTATATTGATACTGTATTTTTAGTTATGAAATTGAAATAAAAAGAAATGTAACTTAAATTATTGGATTAATAATAAAAATATCATATTAATTATTGTTAAATATCACTTTACTTCACATTTAATAATAAAATTGTATATTTATCTTAATTATAACTTTTAAATTTATATAGTTTCATAACAAGAAGTAACTTATAAATTTCATGTATACCACAAGATAAAATATTAAATTATTTCAAGATAATTACAATATATATTTTTTAATTTATAAAGTCCCGTGCATAGCACGGGTTACCACTAGTATATACAAAAATAAATGACAATTGTGATTTAAAGCATTAAAATGAATACAAATATAAATGACAATTGTAAGCATTAAAATGAATACAAATGTGAGTGGTTGAAAGGGTTAACGATATCCGATTAATTTGATTTTTTACAGATATATTCTATTTGATGTACTCTAAAATGTTAACAGTTTGGATCATCAAAATAAGCCCCAAAATGGGCCTATTTGACTGCACAATAGTGCTGTGCAAGGGGCACAACAGTCGCCCTAAGTTCTATTTTGTGATTTTTTGGGGTTTATTTTTGTTTTTGGTGAACTTGGAAAAAAAAAAATCAAAAAGTTCTAGATTTCTATTTTCGTCTGGGAAGTAACTATTTTAATTAAAAAGTAAAAAAGTTATTATAAATTATCACATCACTTTTTTTTTTTGTAAATCTTTTTTTAAAAAATTAAAAAATTACTAAAATAGTATGTTCCTGAACGAAGCATGGCAAGATAATTAAAAATTTTAATTTTTTTTTTAAAATTCAAAAAAAATATAGAACAGACAAAAATAAGAAAAAAAAAATAGTAAATTTTTTAGCTTACTTTGGTTCTTGTTTTTTTATTTATTTATAATATATATATATATATATATATAATTTTTAGACTCATTTTCCCTAATGAACTTAAAAAAAATAAAATTTTAACATGAATTTATAAAAAAGTCAATTAAAAAAAAAAAAAAAAAAACAAATGCGACTCACATTCGGCACCGCTCAAAACCTAGACGACAAAACGAACTTTCAAATATCACTTTGGTTTGGGCATATCTCTTTCGTTTCCCCGTATATCGCAGTTGGCGGTTCAAAGCCAAAACAAATCCAAAAAACTTCTCCCTACAAACGCTTCTCGATACCCCATCCCATCCACCGCCTCACCATTCTACACTTCCTAAAAAACCCAGACATGTCCCCAACGCTACTAACACCACCCTCCCAATCTCGACTCGGCTGATGGACCTCGCGGATTCGACTCACCACCAAGCTCGTTCCGCTTCCACCATCAATCTCAATGCAATCCCTTCGTCTTCCTCTTCCTCAGCCTATTCCCTATCCCCCGACGACTTCGCCGTCTTCCGAACCTTCCACGACCACCCGCCGTCGTCGTCCGGACCTCCGGCGCACGTTCCCGGTGATGCTTCTGGTTCGGGATGCGCCGCCTGTGGTCGGCCGGAGGTTGGAGGAGACGTGGTGGTGTGCGATGGCTGCGAACGTGGTTTCCATCTCGGTTGCGCCGGAATGCGTGGGCGGCAGGTGGTGGTGCTGGACGAGTGGATTTGCCGGGAATGTGTGAGCGACGGAGTGCCGATTAATCGGTGGGCGTTGGGATTGAAATCTTCGCTTCACAGTGACGGTGAAGGCGACGGGAGTGAAGAGTTTTCAGATTCGAGGTACAAGTTTCTTGAGTTTCTGCAATTTTGGTAGTTGTAATAAATAAAACATGCATATAAATACAGAGTTTTAATAGAGATAAATGTAAGAAGAAAGCTTATATTCCACAACAATTCAAGTTCCATCTTTCCATTTAGCACACTGTATTAGTTGCGTAGATTTGGTATAGTTGTTTATATTAGTTATCTTTGAGCAGCAGTGAATTTAAGAACGTTAGGGGGTTCGCTAGTTTGAAGCTTATATAAGCATCAACAGGGTTTACTGGCAGTACAAGTTGGTTTATTCGAAGTTTTCAATTTTTGAGTTTAAAAATTACAAAATGTTCATTTATTTTTGTAAGATTAGATATCTTTGTAGTTGCAATTTCTAGTTCAGAGGCATGCCTCGAAGTTGCATATCCTGCTCCAGATGCCATGGATTGGTTAATCAACCAGTGAAGAGAATAGAAGCTTAGGTATAGGTAAGGTGAGAGGGATGAAGAGTGCATGTTGGTGTGAGGGCAAAGTATTGAATTGAATAGTTAGGGAGAGTGAAGTACTTACTATTCATAGCTTGATCCATAAGGTTGTTTGGGAATTGTCTGATTGCAAGACTACCATCGTGAGGCACTTGAGCACATTAGGTGGGTGTGCATAAAAGGATTTTATGTTTGTAGGGGGATCTCCCTTTCCACTTTGTAGTTGCAACTATCTTCTGGCTTTTGGCCCTCTCCTTAGGGTTGAGGATCTCTTCATACGAATCTTTCTATTCTTGCATAGTTTTGTGAAGGATAGTGTTGAATTACAAGTCTAATACATTTTGGGAGGGATTGGATTTTGTAGAATTCAAGCTTCATACATCTGCTTTCTTTCTATTAGTTCATGGATTAATTGCAGTTTGTGTTGAATTACTTCCTCACCATTCCTTATTTACAATGCCTAAACAGAAAATATGGGTGCTCTGCAAAGAAGAAGTGAATTTGTTTAGGCAGACTCACTAATCATTAGGTTGAATAAGTTCCCGTACTTGCAGGCTGATACTATTTATCCATATTAGCAGTTCCTTTTTTGTTGTGGCAATAAGTTAAAAGAGAGTAAATTATTGTACTTGGAGGACTCGTGTCCATCGCTTAAACATGTGTGTCTATCGATTAGACATGCATGAAACTAATTATAAGGTTAAACAAAGTTACTTGGGATATAATAATAAAATAAAAACAATGTAAATTTATGAAAATAAGTGTTATATTACATTTTTTTATTATCTTTGAATGATATATCCATGTATATGACATATAATAAATATACACATTATTTATTCCGTGTGTGTCCCCCATGTGTTTTGTCTTACATTTTCTAAAAATTTGCATGTCATCGTGTCCGTGTCCGTGTCGTATCGCATGTCCGTGCTTTTAGGATTGAGTTATTTATAAATTGTTTTAATTGATCTATTAAGTTAAATTGGTCGAATTTGAGCTTTCCTTTCATTTTCTTTTATGTAATGAGCCGTACCTGAACTGGCAGTTTACGCATCTCCATATTTATTGCATTCTCTTATGCGTTAGATGAATATAATATAAATGTAATGCAACTCCTTTGCTCTGTTTTGGAAAAACAGATAAAGCTTTAAAGACTGTACGAGTGTGTATTGATTAGCCATGCATGAAACTAATTATAAGTTCAAACAAAATAACTTGGGATACAATAATGAAAGAAAAAACAATGTAAATTTGTGAAAATAAAATGTTATATTGTATTTTTTTTATTATCTGTGGATGTTATATTATGCATGTTCCCTACATGTCGTGCCTTGTATTTTTTGAAAATTAGTGTGTCAATGTGTCCTTGCTTCTTAGATTGAGTTATTCATAAATAGCTTGTTCTCTTCTTGTTTCAATTGATCTATTAAGTTAAATTGGTCGAATTTGTGCTTTCCTTTCATTTCATTTTCTTTTATGTAATGAGCAGTACATGAACTGGCAATTACTTATCCCCATATTTGTTGCATTCTCTTAGGCATTAGATGAAAATAATATAAATGTAACGCAACTCCTTTGCTCTTTTTGGGAAAACATAGATAGAGCTTTAAAGACCATTAGATGATCGAGGGTTTCGTGGGAATGGGACACACATTGCGTATTCTTCGACCAAACAAGGCTCATCAACTGTGTAATTTATTTTCTTCCTCGCCAATTTTCAACGATAATTTTCCGATCAAGCAGGTTTGGATGACTCTTTCTGTCACTCTCACTCTCACTCTCACTCTTCAATCTTGGTCTTGATCTTGATTTGTTTGTTCAAAGCAAGCCCTTTCTATTGATTATTCCTGGTGCTATAATAAGATCTAGTTATTTGAAGATCTACTCTTGGATCTGCAAGGCCAATCGGGTAACACCCTCACTTTGTTAATTAATTTCTAATCTATGTAGGAATTTGTATTCTTGTCATGGTATATCCAATTTGGTTTTTTATTTTTATTTTTATTTTTATTGGATTTAATGTGTTTTCTAAACGTAATTTCTTTTTTAGGATTAGAAAGTTGAAGTAGTTCCTATCACAAACATTTTATTTTGGGAAATTAGGGTTTTTCAGATGTTATAAATTGTTGATGCCATTTTACCTAGTCATTGAGGACTATGAAGCATGGATACATACGTGGAAAGGCAAGGACAAGGAGGCGGACATGGGACACAGTGATTTAAAAAAAATACAAACACAAACACAGACATGGACATGATGGGCAAAAAAAATGTTTTTATTTTTATTTATATAAATGTTACATCCATAAACAACCAAAATTAATGAAAATTGACACTAATTTAACATAAAACACACTAAATTTAAATCATTTAGAGGTTAGATCTGTGTTGCATTAGGGCTCCGAGGATTGTTAGAAGTCAGCATCTTAACTTCACAATTGTGGTTAGATTTGTATTGCGTTGTTGATGATTTGATATGAGTTTTATAATTTTTAAAAATTTATCGTCTTTTCAACTATTATAATATGTACCTCGAAATTAGCTATGGAAAATTAAAATAAGACTCTGTCGCTAAGGAGCATAAACATGAACATAGATACAAGCATGGGACACAGCGGTTTTGAAAAAAATTAGATTTGAGCACAGTGGGGATACAACAAAATTTTTTGTTTGGTATTTATTTTTTTATTTGCGATGTATACAAATATTAATGTAGGGCACAAAGATCTTTCTAAACTTATAAAAAAGAAACTCGCAAGGGTTTCCTGAGGCTTGTCCAAATACAACAATTGTGTATCTGCGAAATGTCCCTAAAGTATCCTGCAAAACAATATTAATTAAAGAAATTGACAAGCCACATGGTGTGTTTGACACGTGGACACTCGTATCCCCAATGTTAAGTGTCCCATTATACGTGTCTGACACGAACACATCAAGCATCCATTTTGAAGTGTCGGTGCTTCATAGTGTGAGAATATATTGTATACTCGCTCTGTCCCAAAATATTAATCCCTTATTCCATTTCCTTTCGTCCCAAAATATTAGTCCCTTTTGAAGAATCCATCTTTTTTTGGTAGTACAATTATTACACTTTAAAAATTTTAACTTTTCAAAATTACCCTTTGATAATACATTTTTTTTGGGAACATCAATTGTTGTAGTTGTACTTTTTTTGGTAGTGCAATTTTTACACTTTAAAAATATTAACTTTCCAAAATTACCCTTTGATAGTACATTTTTTTGGGAACATCAATTGTTATCATTGTACTTATGTTGTTAATGAATTTAAAAGAAGGGCAAAATAAGAAATTCGTATTATTTTAATCCTTAATTTTTTTAAAAAAGGCTAATATTTTGGGACGAAGGTAGTATATTCTATATTAGGCATGTTTCTGATTGTATATATTAGGCTTGATTTCGACTTCAGAGATGAACTAGGGTGAATCCGAGAGAGAGAGTGAGAGAGAGAGATATTACAACTCAGACAACGATGGTGACGACTCTAGGGTTTCAAACCAGAGAGCGATTGTGATGGCTCTAATACCATGTAAGTTTTTCTGAATGAGAATTGTATATTCAATGTGTAAATGGTTACATCAAGACCTCAGTATATATAACCCTAAAGCCTAAACTAAAAAGGAAATACAAAGATTACATAATCACAATCATGCCTAAATCAACCCTAATATATACAATCAAAAGCATGCCTAATATTGAATACATACAATATACTCTCATACATAGCTCCGTCATGTCCCAAATTATGTCCTAGTTATTTCCCTTATGTGTCCATTGAAAAAATTATTAAAAAGATGGAGACACCATGTGGCGTGTCGGACACATGTTGCTATGTGTCCCTGGCGTGTTCATGTTCCCTTACGTGTCCGATGTGGCTACAACACCTATTTTGAAGTGTCAGTGCTTTGTAGGTTGGGGATGAATGTGAAAGATGAATTTTATTTTCTTTGCAAATAGATTTTCAGAAGAATTAATGCAATATCAATAATTTTACATATCAATTTTTTTTTTTTTTTTATTGTTTTTGATAAATAGTTTTACATGTTAAAATGATGGCATGAAAATCTGAAAGATTACTAAATACATTTTAATTTCGACCAAAAGTTTGACATATTGACTAAATGTGCATAACAGTTCTGGCTCTGTAGGAACATATGTGTGAAGAAGACTCAAAATTTAATTTTAAAATCTGAAAATGTGTGGAAATAAAACTAATTTGAGTCTTTTATGTTATTTTCTATTACTACTGTGATTATTCTAAACTACAAATTAATCAAGGTTTTATTTTTATTTTTGTAATACTGTGTTTTATGTGGATTATTTGGAGAGACCACAATTGAATATCTTTTGATGGTTGGAGGTTCCATTTTATGAGTTTAAAGAGTAGATTTATTTATTTATATGGTTGGTATTTGGGGAGGGTTACCCAAGCATTGGTCAATTTTTAGATTTTGTAGTCTTTTGGGAACTATGGAATTGTGTAGTTTTTGGTTGTATAAAGGCGTGATTATCGTCTTATGGTTTCTTTTAATGAATATCTTTTAGTAATACAAATAATAAAAACTTAAAAAAATGAAAAGAAGAAATAATGATGCGATGGTAGGTTATTACTTACTCAGTGCTTGTTCTAGAAGAGTTAATTCAATGAACATGGTTTTTGGGTACAATTTTAGAAGGAATGTGAAATTCTGCTTGTTCACTATAACGGATGGGGATCTGGAATGGGAATTTTGGTTGATAAGATAACCTGACAAGTTGGGATGAGGCATTGTGTGCTCAGTCCTTGTGTCTTGTCTTGATTAATGAGTGTGGGCATGATGGTGGCTGCTAAATATGCCCTCTTAACTTATTGGTGGCAAGTTCTGCAAAGAAGCTACAATTACATTGGTATTTTGGTGAGTAGTTTGAAGCGGTGCTTCTTTCTTAATTGCTTGAAATTATGGTTTAGTTAAGCTGCTGCTTTCATTAATTTCTCTTGATTGAGTGTATTTCTCACAGTTTCTTTTTTAGTTGTCAATTTCAGTTTGTAGTAAAACAATTTATATGAATTCATTTAATTTAACTGAGCATATAACCCTTGATAGAACAACATGACGAAAAAGGATTCATGTAGGCTATCTCACTTATGAATTTCAGTTTTGCTGCTCGTTCTTTCTTTTGATTGGTTGATTTAGTTAAAAACTTTTTTGAAATGCTAGTAATTTGAAATTGTTACAAGTTACATTTTTATTGTGGTTCTTAGAAATCATGCTCCAGGTGATAATTCTTTTGGTGCTCCAGTGACGTACTCAAACTCATTGTACGTGGGAAAGGGATTTGGGTTTCAAAAATCATCTGGTATTGTGACTCTTGGTGTCAAAGATATATTGCATCGCACATATTCTGTGGTTAGAGGTTTTGAGGAGGCAGATATGCAATCCCTTTTAGGAAGTGTTAGGAGTAGTAATCATACAGCTACTAGACAAGCACCTCAGAATCCAAATGAGATGCATTTGCAGGCTCTTAACGAGTTTATATCTGAAAGGCATGGTGTTCTAGAAGAAGGTTGGTGTGTGGAATTCAAAAGATCCATGGGCAATGGTGAGCTACATGCTGTTTACTGTGCTCCAGATGGGAAGACATTTGATTCGATGCCTGAAGTTGCCTGTCATCTGGGGTTGATGTCTAATAGCAATTCTGAAGAACCCAAAAATGGATGTGCTTCATTGCAGAGGTCGCATTTAGCCAAAGGAAGAAAGTCTGCAGTACTGTCAATGGCTAATAGTCTGTCTGAAAATAACAAAATTTTGAGTGGATTAGGCAAGGATCTCTCATCTGATTTTAATACTATGGGTTGCGCAAGCAAATTTGAAAATAATGTAGAAGTAGTGGGAGCTATGCCAAAAGAAATCAGTGGGACCGGGCCCCAACAATTTAATGTAAGTGAACTAGTTGTTTATATTTTTTTCATGTAAGATGGTTACTTCCCCCGACTAGATATATGCTCATCTATTTGTGTGGCTACAGTAGTTGGCTTATGGTCTTTAGCTTGGTCTTCATGCCTGATTTTATGTCTGTTCTTTTCAGGAGGGACTTCCAGTTCAATATGGAGATTTCTTTGTGCTTTCTTTGGGAAAAGTTGATACTAAACTGTCTTATCATAATGGCAACCAGATCTGGCCCGTAGGCTATAAATCCTGTTGGCATGATAAAATTACTGGTTCCATTTTCATTTGTGATGTGTCAGATGGTGGTGGTTCTGGACCTATTTTTAAGGTCAGCAGGTGCTCGTGCTCTATAATGTCCATGCCAAATGGTTCAACTGTTCTCTTTACACCAAATGTTGGGCAATTGGTTTGTGAAAACAAAAAAAATGATTATGATGAATATTGCAGTGTTCAGATTCTTCTCACAGATGCTTCCTCTCCAATGGAAAATGATATTTTATCATGCCCTGGCAGTTCTTCCGACAAATCTTTTAGTGTTCAGACATCAAATTGCTTGCTTCTTGGATCTGATCCCTTTAGTGAAGGATTCAGGAATGTTTTACCTAATACTTCAGTTTTGAGTGAGGAAATTGGTGAATTTTCTGTTGAAGAGTCATCTTCATCTTCCGCATGGAGAATGGTGTCCAAGAAATTCGTTGATGCTTGCCGTCAGATCTTTATGCAGAGAGGCACTCTTAAGTTGTTCTGTGAGCATGTTGAAAATGGGACATCCTTAACTTTCTGTGACCATATAGATGAAAAGGATGAAGGACATACTTCTTTGGCCAGATTTTTCGGTTCATCATGCTCCATCAAAATCCCATCTGTTATCCAGGATGACTCTGAGCTTGACACTGTGTTTAAAGTATTGGCGAAATGGCTGGATCAGGATAGATTTGGATTAGATGTTGAATTTGTGCAAGAAATTATAGAACAGCTTCCTGGTGTTCCTGCCTGCTCACAGTATGTATTTTTAGCGGAAAGGAGTGGGCATTCTTCGTTTGTAACGGTTGGAAATGGGCTCCTACTGGTAAAGACAAAGGATGGAATACAAGCCAAGGATGAAGAAGCATTAGATGGTTTATTTAGAGGCTGCAGAAGAGCCCGGACAGAGATGGTTGAAGACCCTGTGCTGGAGAGTCCTCACCCTCCTCCTGGGAAGCCTATTTGCTCAAAGCTTCCCTCTGAGATTGTTGGTGATGTTCTTCAGGTATGTCCATACTCCTTTAGAGTGTTGAGTAAAAAATAAATTTTGTACTACTGATGAATTTTGGAATTTTAAATGCTAGGATATGAGGTCTTATTTTTTGTTCATCAACCAGGTGTGGGAGTTCCTGTGGCGTTTCTATGAAGTTTTGGGCTTACAGAACTCTTTGTCAATTGAAGAACTTGAAGAGGAACTCATTTGTCCATGGTTTGATGGCCTTACTCTCCTAGAGAGATTTGGTGAGAAAATCCAAGAAAGTCATGATATTATTTCTCCTAGAACTGATGGTTTAAGCGAGCCCATTGTAACCTCGTGTGCTGAATCTGGGTCTGCAGTGACCACAGAAACTTTGCGTACTTTGATAGAAATGCAAACAAAAGTAATGAAGGAAACAACCCAGGCTATAAGGGAATCAGTTACTAATAGCAGCTGCATGGGTATTGCTTTAGCTAAAACTTTTTGCTCGCTGTTGAAAGTTCTAGTAGGGGAGCTGCAGTCCAAGGTTGCTCCAGAAATAGACTCAAATTTTGATTCTGGAGGGTCAAAGCTAAAACGAGGCAAAAAGAAGGCTATGGACTGTTCAGTTTCTACGAAGGGAACAAAGCTGAATACACTTCCTATTAATGAACTGACCTGGCCAGAATTGGCTCGGAGATATATTTTGGCTGTTTCATCCATGGATGGCAATGTTGACTCTCCAGGAATAGTTGCCCATGAAAGTGGCAAAGTGTTTTGTTGTTTGCAAGGCGATGGTGGGGTGCTTTGTGGCTCACTCACTGGAGTGGTGGGGATGGAAGCAGATGCACTGGTAAGATCGGATCCAAGTTTTTTCTTCTGCCTCTAGTAACATCTTTTTTGTTTTTTCAACTTTCTAGCTATAAAAACTGCTTGTCGTTGTGGAAGGAGGGATTTCCTAGATATGGAATTTGCATGGCACCTCAACCATTTCTTGTCACTTAGCACTGCCTTATGAACTTCTGGATTTGTTATTTGATGACATTGACTTAAAATAAGTTGCCACCAATGAAAGATGCTGGGATTTTTATTGTTTTTATCTGTACACGGATGAAAGCCTACTATTGATATGTGCTGCTGGATTTAATTGTGAGTTCAGAGTTTGCTTAGAAGGTTTAATAAAATGTTTCTGCACATTGGTTGTGAATGTATGGGGCTTTTTATAGCCTCAATTTCTGAAAATTTAAAATTTTATTCCTTCTTCAAATTAGTGCATATGGTAAATTGGCCTTGACCATTCTTTGGCACTTAGCACTGCGTCTGGAGTATTTGTCTTGTAATTTGATGATATTGACTTGAAGTAAATTCCTGAAAGAAAAACATGATGGGGGTTTTATTGGTTTCATCTCTAAATGGATCAAACTCCTACATCAGATATCTGTTCTTGGATTAAACTGTGAGTTTAAAATTGCTATAGAACTTTAGTTGCTAAACAAGGGGCTGTTTATGCTGAAATGAAAAATAAGAAGGTAATGTGTCGTGTCCGACACAACACGACACTCATTTTACACTTCCCAACACTTGCATACATGAAACACATTACAAGTTTGAATAAATTAACTTGAAATCCAATGATAAAATGAAAATAATAAAAATTTATACCTATTATTTTCCTTTACACTTTAAAAATTATTATCTTTGACTTAAAAATGTTCATATATATGATATATAATAATTATAAATCTTTATATATTACATATAATAAATGTATAAAATTATATATTTTGCATTTGTCCCTTACATGTGTGTCCTACATTTTTTGAAAATTTATGTCATTGTGTCCATGTTGTGTTACATATCTATGTCCATGCTTCTTTATAAAAGGTAAATGGATGTTATTGTCCCTATCAATAAAGGCTGCTTGGAGGGGTAAAACTAGATATAGATATAACCTTTGTATTATATGCACAAAGTGGCTGCATTTTGACTTGATTCAACATTTTCCCTTTTGGCAGTGTGAACTTTACCATTGCACCAAGCAGTGCCTTTATTTGATAAGCAAGGCAACACTTCAGAAATAATTGTCACTTACCAATGGTTTGTACTTTTAGGCGTACAGATTTGACTTGCCACTAAACAAGTTTAGCTGAATTCAATTCTTAAATCCTGATCATGAATTGCAAAATTTATATCAAATGCGATTTTAATGACAGAAGTCTTGAATGATACTAATTTTCTGTTCCCAATTTCAGCCCATCAATCAACTTCCGTGTTTATGTTGGTTGTCCATCTACAATGATGCGCTTGGGATTGGTTGTATATTTTTTATTTAAGCTTTGCTTATAAGATAATTTGCAATGAATTTTAAAAAATGTATCATTTTCCATGTAGTTGTTCTACATTTTGAACTTTCTACTTCTTTTTGTGTTTGTATTTTTTTTAATCTAGATATTTTGTTTATCTCCAATTTTGCAATCTTGGTTTATAGCTGTTCCTTTTTCTGCAAAAATATTTATATGCTGTTCTGGTTTCCAATATTTTTCTTTTGTGCTTCCTGTATAAAGGACTGAATCTGAAATGATTCTTATATTTCTGATGCCTTCAGTTGTACAGTTAGACCCATGTTTCTTTTCTATAGCAGTTATATGGATTTTGTTACCCTTCTTGCATAACTATAATAAGCTACAACTTTTGGATGAGATTTATAATTTATACAATCTTTGAATCTCTTTTTCACTATTTTTAGTCATTAAAGAGAATGAAATTATGGGGGAAATTCTTACTGATGCTTTGACTTGGTTTTTGTTCAGTTGCTTGCACAGGCTGGGAAGAAAATTTTTGGTTCTTTGAACAGAGAGAATGATATGCTGAGTATAGATGATAGGGGATCTGATGCAACTAGTGCTTGTGAAAGCTATGCTAATATTCCAGAGTGGGTACAGTTGCTGGAACCTGTTAGAAAGTTGCCCACAAATGTGGGAGCCCGAATAAGGAAGTGTGTATATAGTGCTTTGGAGAAAGGTCCGCCAGATTGGGCAAAGAAAATATTGGAGCATTCAATCAGCAAGGAAGTTTATAAAGGAAATGCTTCTGGACCGACAAAGGTGATATTTCTTGTTAATCACTCTCTTCTGTAGTTGTTGATGAAATTCCTGTAGGATGTTGATAAATAAACAGTATGGGTATGTGCTTTATTAATTGGCATGTAGAGTAGTTTTTGCACTTCTAACAGATTGATTTATTTGCTTCAGATATGTTGCTATGTTGTCAGAGTTTGTTATGCACCCTACTATCCTTGAGCTTCTAATTCTTTTTTCTATGTTAGATATATGTCCAATTGGTGTTTCTTCTCTAGGACATGACAATCCTTTTTGGGTTTAAAAAACTACTGGTTGTATTCCTTGGAATGAACCACTACCTTGCCCTTTAGAAAAGAAAAAAATGCTTCATAAAAGGGTCAATGAATGATTCATTTCATCATGTTGTGAAGTTTGTGACTTGATCTGGTCTCTGGAGGTGCATATTCTTGTGAGAGTAGTTTAATTCTCCCTTTTAAGCAGCTTTGTACCTTCTAGAAAATTGAAGTCTATGGTGTCTGGAGCTGCTTGATCTTATCCACGCAGACTATCTTGTGTTTGCATTTCATTTCTTTTTTCCATTTTATCATTTGTTAACAGTCAAGGGGAACACAAGTATTAATGAAGCTCTTGGTCTGTATCACTTGATTAGTGAAATACTTATAAAAAATTAATCAAATAATGGAATTGGATTATCTTAATATTGTTTAGCGACAGGTTAGTTTTTGACCCAATGCCCCTGTATATACATTTTTTTTTGTTGCCTTAAGTTTTTTTTTCCAAGTGTTCACAAGCATTTTATTCTTGTTCATTTTTCTGCAACATTTAGAAAATCATTTGCAAAATTGTGATCTCTTGTCCAAAAGTTTTTCAGTGTTTAGTCTATTGAGCTTTTCATTGGTAAGTTAAGTTTGCTGTATCGGTTTTACCTTAGCGGCTTTAAAATTTGAGAGTAATCCATGTCCCTCACTAGCTTTTTCAATTATATAGCATGAGTATTACGATTCTTGTTCCAACTCATGTTCTTGCACCGTTATAGGTTGGTATCTGCTTTTTATCTTTCCTGTTTTCTATTTCTCTTCTTTGGAATGCAAATAATTAACTGGATCTTAATAGAACTTAATTATTAGGGGCCTGAGGCTGCACATAAGAGATTTCTTTGTCCAATTTTGACATTATAGCTTGGATCACACATTCTCTGTATTGAATTGGATTGTCAAATTGTAACTTGTTAAACTCTTAATCTAGATCTAGCTCTAGCTCTAGCTGCCCTTGTTTTCATTTCACAAGTTCCTTAATGTGTTTCAATTTTGAATTGAATCTGTTTCTTTTTTGGGTGTAAACAGAAAGCTGTACTTTCAGTCCTAGCAAATGCGTACGGTGAAGGAATGCAGCAAAAACCTGATACGGAAAGAAACAAGAAGGATTTTGTATCTATATCTGACATGATCATGAAACAATGTCGTGTTGTACTACGTCGTGTGGTGGCTGCTGATAAAGCAAAAAATCTCAACTTGGTGGGGAGAAATTTGATGAGTTGTAGTGATCGTGATGATAAAGGGATCCTTGGATCTCCAGCTATGGTATCACGTCCTTTGGATTTCAGGACAATTGATTTGAGATTGGCAGTTGGGGCCTACGGTGGATCTCATGAAGCTTTTTTTGAGGATGTTCAAGAGGTCTGTTCCCTTCTACAATTTGGTTTGATTGGGCAACCTTTCCTATGATCGCATATGTTTTGCATCATCTTGACCTAATGAGGTTTCCTAACTGCTTGGTTTTCCATAGAATTTAAGAACTTTCAATTGTTACGCATCATAAAAAGAGGAAGAAAAAAAAGTTCCGTTGTACTTATTGTTGAAAATACTGTCATGAACTTCTTACTAAGAAGCACGGAGACGAACACGGATACGGACATGCGAACACGTAAATTTTTAAAAAATGCAGGACACAATACATTGGGGACACGTCCAAAGCATATATTTTTATATTTTTAAATATTTAATATATATTTTATTTCAAATATTTAATTTTATCAAATTTATTAACCTTAGGTATGCTATTTTAGTAAAAAAATTAAAAATTTTAATTGTTTAAAAAAAAAAATAGTATTCAACGTGTCCCCAGCTTGTCCTCAACGTGTCCCTTGTGTGTTCTCAACATGTTCTAACGTGTCCACAATGTGTCCAAAGTGTCCCAGCATGTCCGGCACGTGTCCGGAGTGTGTTTGTGTCCGACATGTGTTGGACATCTGTACGCAACCTCCGGAGAGGTGTCTGTGCTTCATAGACTTTTTATATCAACAATATTACTGAAAATGGGTATTGTTTATGCTTTACTCAGATTAGAAACAGAATGCTTCGTTATCTCATCACTCTGGTTGTTCTGGTTTCATTGTCCAATGAATAGGAAGTTAATATGGTTGCATGGTTTTTATTGCTAAAAAGTTGAGAGTTTACAGGCGTATTTACATAACCACTTGGATAACAAACTGTAATGTGCCATTTTCGCTCTTTTTTTCCACTGTCTCCCTCTTTTTTTAGCTAACGCTATTAGCTATACATCTCCTTGTAATCTTGGTCCTGAGATGGTAATCAGTAATTGCTTCAACTCGGGTATAGATCCATGCCTCAGTTTTGGTTAGTGTTAATATGATCTTTTGAGGTGTCTGGTCACTTCTTAGTATGTTTAATTATGCGTTCCATTATATTTTTTTTCTGTTCACTAACGTTATGAGTTTCTGCCTTGTACTCTTACCTATCATTAACAAATGAGCTTGATTTTTTTGTTTTGAGTTTCTGCCTTGTACTCTATCTATCCATAGTTGTTAAATCGGGATTCGTATCGTGAATCGAAATGACCTCATACCGAATCGCGAATCGAATCGTAAATCGTAAAGAAAATCGTGAATCGAATCGCGAATCGAATCGCGAATCGTAAGATTCTGATAACAGAGTATCTATCCATTAACAAATGAGCTTGATTTTTTAGCTTTTCAACTTTCTCTGTTTGCTTTCCACAACCAGTCCCATCTTTTGATGCTAGCCATTATTCAACTGTATTGTGCTTGCTGAAAACTGCACTGCTTTTATATATATATTTTTTTGTTGTTTAGTTGCTTTTCAATATTGATGACATACAGTTTTCAACTGGCAGTTATGGACAAATATGCGAATTGCTTTTGTTGATGAGCCTGATTTGAATCAGTTGGTTGAGATATTATCTTCTAATTTCAAAGGATTGTATGAGAAAGAGGTTTGTAGAATTTCTCTTCCTCACCACCCATTCCCCCTCTCATTTCTCCATGCTGCACTCGTACTAGTGAATGGAGCTTTGAGTAATGCATAGTGTATGGATCCACTGCTTAAAATTTAGTGGAATGAGAGTTTGCAGATCATACAGTTTGCTTCTTGAAATTTTCTAAATTTACATGCATTATTGGATTAATCAGTTGAATAATATCACTATTTTATACCATTATTACACTCTTAATATGTCCACTTGTATAATAAATAGACACTCTGTTACATATGTAACCCATACCACCAAAAACACCCCCTTAACTGCCCATAGCTACCTAAAACAAACACTGAGAAACATTTCTCTCTCTCCCTCTCTCTCTCTCTCTATATATATATATGTATATTATGTGAATAACATTTATTACCCAAAAGGGTTGCAGCCCCCTGCCACCCCCCAACACGATACCTCCACCCACCACCCAGTCCAACTAAACCCAATTCATTCTAATCATCACCAAATTTTTCTCTCCATCTCAAACCCAACCAATCCAATAAATTTTCAAACTTCAAACAGACCAAATAAAATCCATATATTTGCGCGAGGAGAGGACATAGTGGGACGGTGGTGAGAGGAGCTGTTGTTGCTGTTGGAGAGGTTGGTGACATGAGAAAATGATGGTGGTTTCACTTTACCTTGCATCACATGGGGTGTAAATGTCGGTCTTTGAAGGTTGGGGAATGTTTTTGGAGAGAAGTACAGAGGGCAAAATGAATTTTCTTCATAAGATATTTTATATACAATGCACATGCATGTTTGTGATGAATGATCTAGTTTTGATTAATACAGATGAGGCAGTGAATGAAATCTAGGTTAGCGGCTAGTATGTATGTTTCCAAAGTGGCAAAAATAAAGAAAGATGTCGTCTCTAAAGCGTAATCTGAAACATAAATCTTTTCTTTTTTTTGATAAGTAATAAAATGCTGCCTGTATGCAAAAGAGAAGGAAAAAGACAAAACCCTATACATTTTCTCATGTACCAAAAAAGGCTTTTTAAAATTGAAGAATTGGTTGAGATGCAACAGAAATCTTTGACCAATGTTTTTTCCCAACCCTCAACCCATTCTTGCCTCCGGTTCTTCCTCTCCCCTTGTTCTTTCTCTAGACAATTGGCTCGTTGACTTGGCTCATTATGCTTTTATTACTTGCTTGCTTTAGAGGCTAATTAATGCTTTCTGATGCAGGTTGTCTGCCTATTTCAGAAATTTGTGCGGTATAACAAATTAGGATGCTTAACTGCAGAGTCAAAGATTGAAATAGATGATTTTCTTGTCTCTTTAAGTCAACTTCCCAAAGCCCCTTGGGAAGAGGGCGTTTGTAAAGTATGTGGCATTGATAAAGATGATAAGAGTGTTCTGCTCTGTGATACTTGTGATGCAGAATATCATACATACTGCTTGCATCCTCCACTTGCAAGGGTTCCCCAAGGAAACTGGTATTGTCCTTCTTGTGTTGCCAACAAACATAATGTTCGAGATGCATTAGAATGTACCCCGACCATTTGTCATAACAGGAGAAAATACCATCGAGAAGTCACCCATGTTTACTTGGACAAGGTCAAGCATTTGGCATCTGTACTGGAAGAAAAGGAGTATTGGGAGTTCAGTGTAGATGAGGTTGGTCTGTTTTTCTTGTTCTTATCATACCTTTTCTTCTCATAATTGTCTTCCTGAATTTTGATTATTTTGCTTTTTCATTTCTGGTAGTTTTCAGTCACCCTGATGCCATGTTGGCCATGTACTTGATGCTATAGTTGCGTTATCCACTATACATATTTCTTTGTTTCTCTTATTTGGTAATTCTGCTATGCGACCACATTATGAACCCTGACCAATGCTGATATTGTGTATATGCATCCCCATATTATATTGACATGATGTCAACATACATTATGGCCATCTTTTATCATCTGTCAACTAGCAAATTAGCCACATTCCTCAGGGAATCAATATCTGGGATTATGTGTCTGTGTTGTTGCTGCTTTCAGATAAGTACTCAAAGCAGTACCTTAATTGAATAAAGGATCACAATCCTAGTTGTTATAAACTTTGATCTGTACACAGACTTGAATGTCATGTTGAAACCGACACTGCATTTGGCATGACAATTGACTTTTCCTGTTTTCCTTTTTTTCTTTTTGTCCTTATCTTAGATTAATATAGGCCTTGTTTGGTTTGTATCTCAAGATACAATTTTTGAGAAAAATTTTCAAAATTTTGTTTGGTTCAAATTTTTTGAATTTTTTTTCGAAAATCATTTTCTCTCTCCTACACATCAAGCAATCACTTTTTCTCTCTCATCTCTCATTCTCAATCACTTTTTCTCTCACACACATCTACTCAACTACAACAAAATATCAAATCATCCCAAACTCCCAAACTTTAAAACTATTTTCAAAATATACAACCAAACAAACCAAAAAAAATTTCTAAACTCTTTTCCCAATTTTTTTTTTGAAAATTTATCTCAAAACACAAACCTAACACACCCATATTCTCTCCATTCTTCTCTCTTTTGGTAGGTGATTCATAATTTAATTTAATTTATACCTTCAGCAATTTGTTGAGGTGAAATGTTTGATTGTCAATTTTATATCAAGGTTGTAGTTAAAAGGATTATAGTTAATATAGGGAAATACAAGGAAAACTTTAAAACAGGGGTTATTTGGATATTTACACTTCGAAGTTAGACGTTCTCAAAGTTGAAGGCCCCACCATTCTATCAGTTGGAGGACATTGTGTTTGTGAGACTAGCTTTCCTGGATTCCCAAGTGTCCATGTTTTACTTCCCAAATCTTTGATTCACACAAGGAGGTTAAGTAATTCTCACAATTGAAGTAGACAGGACCAATAGGGGTTGAAACATTTCATTTTGAAGTCAAACTAGATGGTGAGTGTGGACGATGGTTGGCGAGGTGGCTGAGTAGAGCCTTCTAGGAAGATGGTAGGCACTATGCTGGTTGGAGATCACTGGATAATTTTTTTTTTGGGTAAATGGGAGGGGGAGGAGGGAGTTGAACTTATGACCTCCTAATGAGAAATTCCAAGTTCTGGCCACTGGGCTAAAATTTCTATATTTGTTTTCTTTTATTTTTATTTGGTCGGTGTGGGAGGTGGGGGTTTTTGTATTGCTTCAACTCATGTACTTTTTCCATATACTTTCAAGGTTATATATGTTGCTCTGGTAGGGTTCTTCTGTAGACAATTTTCATACTTCAGAGAATATTTTTTAATAGGATCTAGCAATCACCGAGTAAGTGATGCAGATGCAGAATAATATATCTGTTTTTATAGTGGAGGGTTGAATTGAGCATTTTAGATGACATGGGATGTAAATTCTATGATGTGAAATTGTACAGAAGAAAATGTAAATTCTACCAGGCTACTCATGCAGAAAGGCACAATCTGGTTTTGTCTAATATTATGACATTTATCTCTTTGATATTCTGTCAAACTGTATCTCTTTCTGGCTTTTGCTTACAATCTTGATTAATTATGCATATGTAACAGGAAGTGGAAGAAAAAGAAGAGTTGCCTGTTGATACCATTAACTGTCCAAGTTTCATAAATGTGTAACATGTGCCACTACAAGAGTCTGTACAAAATGTGTAACATAATTTTTTTCCCAGCCAAAAAGGATTAATTATACAAAATGAACATCCACCTGATGATAACAATGCTAAAGGAAGAACAAACTTTTTATGTATTGTAGGAGTAGAAGTTCTTTTGGTTCTTTTTGTTCATCTGCTGGTGCTTGCATTTTGTTTGCTTCATTATATTCGCTTAATTGAACCTTCCTTTTATTTTGGATGCAGAGAATGTTCTTGCTTAAATTTCTTTGTGATGAGTTGTTGAACACGGATCTTATTCGTCAACATCTTGAGGATTGTGTGGAATTGTCTGCTGATTTGAAAAAAAAATTGCGTTCTGTTTCAATTGAATGTGGAAACTTGAAGTACAAAGAACAAACCCTAGCTGCAAAAATTGCAAAGATGGATAAATGCCCATCTTTCAGTAATAATTTGGAAAAGTCTGCTGGTAACAGCCTTACTACAGAACCTTTGGATGCTGAAGATCGATATAAAGATGTCCAAGCAATTGTGGAGGGCAGCCAGTTATCTGGATACTTTTCTTGCTGCACAATTAACCTTGAGAGGGATAAATCCTTCAGACAGAAGGAATTACTTCCATCAAATCTCCAACAAGAAATCAAGGACTCTACTCTGCCTTTTCCCGAAGATCTGCAAGGAATTCACTCTCCGTTGAACATGAGGAGCTCCCTAATAGTTGAGCACAAGCCCTCCCCAACTTTGAGTAAGTTACAAACCGACAGCCTTGAGTTGAATTCAGTCAGGAATCAGATTTCACTTCTGCAGGAATCCATTTGCAGCATGGAAATGCAACTGATGAAGATATCTGTGCGGAGGGAATTTTTGGGTTGTGACTCAGCAGGCAGGTTGTACTGGGTCTTGGCCAAGCTGGGTAGACATCCGTGGGTGATTGTTAACACTCTGAACAGTGGGGAGATGACACTGCAGCAGGGAGTGAAAATATCATCTGGTTCTAGAGGTTCCTTTCCATATGTGCATGAGCTCAATGATGTTAATACCCTTTGTTTTCCATGGGTCTCTTACCAATCTGAAGCAGAAATTAAAGAACTTGCTGGATTTTTGAGAGATGATGACACAAAAGAAAGAGAACTGAAAGAATCCATTGTGCACTTGTTGAAACTAAAATACCAAGATTCTAAACAAACCGAAAAACAAGGTCAGGGTGAGCCTCTAATGGCTTCGTCTGGGGCCACAAATAGGGAATTTTTTTTATTTTCGAAATCCCTAATTACTAAGGCAACCAGTTTGCTCAAGAAAAAATATGATCCACAGTTTGAGCCAGAAACCAGTGAATTTTCAGGTGTATTTTTTGAAGATAAATTTTTCAGGTGTAACTGCTTAGAACCTGTTTGGTCTTCTAGACATCATTGTCTTACATGCCATAAAACCTTCTTGACTGAAGTGCAACTCAAGGGTCATAATAATGCTATGTGCAAATTAGGTCTTGCAGACTCCAAGAAGAGCAAAGGAAATAGTGCTTTAAAGGGCAAGGGAATGATGAAATCTGAGACTCTGCGAGAGGAACGCACTGGTGAAATGGACGTCGTTCAAGAATCAAAAAGTGGTAATTTTGAGTTCAATTCAAAATTGATTAAATATCAAAATGATGGTTTATTATGCCCATTTGATTTTGAAGAGATCTGCTCCAAGTTTGTGACAAAGAATTCTATCGAGGAATTGGTGCAGGAAATAGGTCTTTTAGGTTCAAATGGGGTTCCATTGTTTGTCCCATCTGTATCTCCATATCCTAGTGATCCTACACTGATGCTAGCTTCCCCTAAAAGAGATGTAGATGTTTCATGTAAAGAGCCCAAGACTGATGAACAGCTAACTTTTACCCAGCAGGGGATCAGGGTGACAATTGATGCAGGACTTGATATTTCTAGTAGTTCTAGAAGATGTGCTGCAAATGAACTCGCTGGTGCATTTAAATCTGATAATCCAGTCTTTGAATCCATGGGGCAGAAAGATGAAAACTCGTCATTTTTCTGTCGAGCTCCAGCTCCAGAGGTTGGTAACTGCTGTGTCATTCCTGAGGCTGCACTAAGGCCATTAGTAGGCAAAGCTTCTCAATTCTTGAGGGTACTCAAGATCAATTTACTGGATATGGATGGTAAAATTCCTGAAGCAGCTCTGAGGCCGTCAAAAGCACATTTGGAAAGGAGATGGGCCTGGCGTGCATTTGTTAAATCTGCGGAGACCATTTATGAGGTTAGTCTTGTCAACTTCTTTTTATTTGCATAGTTATTATCTCAATTATTACTAGTTTTGAAGTTTCCTCAATTAGTAGTGACCTTTTCTTGAGAGTTGTTACTAATGGTTTTAAGTCTTTCTGGCTTGAGGACGGAAAACCTTTCTTAGAATAGTTACTTGCTTCAAGTCTCTTACGTGTTATTAACAGTAGTGGCTGCTATTATAAATATATATACATATATTAAATCTGATAAAGGATAGTTTGCCTTCCTTTCAATATAAGGGCAGGGTATGGAGATTTTCACCATTGGTAAGTCATTGTGCTATTTTGGCATGTGGGTGGGGGACTTTTTTTCCATCTCCCCCCCCCCCCCCCCCCCCGGCTCGGCTCTCCTCGGAGGTTATAATCTATATCTGTGGGTCACAGCAGAGCATATAGGACTCTTGCCACCATGAACCAGTTTGAAGTTTATAAACTATAAAGGTTCATGAAACAGTGGTTGAATTTGACAAGTATGTCTAGAATATGAAAAGAAAATGATTGTGAATTACTGATAGAGGATTCTCTAAGTGTAAGCAGATAATGCTGAAATTGGGGAAAACCATGGGCCTTGGAGGGGGGGGGGGGGGGGTGGTGAAATAAGAAAAGAAAGAAAAACCTTTCTGACCTTGTAGTGAAAAACACTTCAACCCTCTTGCAGAAAGTAAACCTGCCATGTTTCAACTCCATACACAGTGAATGTGAAAATAGTCTAAAGCAAAAATCTCTCTCGAACCATTTATTCTTAATAAATTCTTTTATTTTTATTTACCATCTTTTATATGTGAAGCTCCTTTTAAATTTTTAGGGATAAATGTGTGCAATGAAAACATAAAATGTGAAATAGGTTTCTCTTTAAAATTTCATGCACAAAGCTCACAGTTACATGTTTGTGTGTAATGTGCACGTATATTTTGCATCCATAAAGTTGCTTACAAAGCCAATTATGATTCTTTGCTGCTGCTGCTGCTTTTTTTTTTTTTGGTTGTCTTTCCAGATGGTTCAAGCTGTAATTGTATTCGAGGACATGATTAAGATGGACTACTTGAGGAATATGTGGTGGTACTGGTCCTCACTGACGGCTGCTGCTAAGATACATACCTTGTCTTCACTTGCTCTGCGTATATACTCTCTAGATGCAGCGATTGATTATGAAAAGAACTCTTCCAATTTAGATGAACCTAAACTTGCCAGCAAAACAGATCAGAAGGCACGGTCTGTTTCACATGCAACAGAGAAATCGAAGCCACGCGGCAAAGTGAAAAGAAAAAGAGCTGATTAGAGGTTTGATTTTGGGTTTTGCTTCTCCAATAGAGTAGATCTAAATTGGATGAAATTTGAATTTTCTCTTGCAGCTATGTTTTTAAGTATGTAAACTAATCATATAAAATTGTGGATTGAATAGCAAAATGGGCGTGGAGGGCAAACGGAGGGGATGGAAGAGAACAGTTGGAAAGCTATTTCGTTGTGTATAATGTAGGAATCAAAGGCGTGATGTTCAAACGGATGCTAAAGTGGGAAGGCAGATTTTGTTGATCTAATTTCAGAGGGAGGACAATTCGAATGCATGCAATTTTGAACTATATACTCTAGTTTTTTGTTTTTGCAGTTTGAAGGAGAGGTGGATTGGTAATTTTTTTTTTTTTCAGAGAACTGCTAGATTTGGAGAAATGTTGAGAAAAAGAAAAAAAAGAAAAAAAGAAAAAAGAAAAAAAGAAAATAATAGTTTAGTCTCTATAGTTTTTAATTTTTTTTTTTTTTAAAAAAAAAAAAACATGCAAACAGTTTTATGCTATGTTTTATTCTTCTCTCTCTCTCTCTCTTTCACACACACACACACACACACACACACACACACACACACACGTTGATGTAGAATCATTAATTTGTGCTATGCTAAGACACTGGAGGTAGGTTTGTAAGTTTTGTCTTTTCAGTATTTGTGGGGGGTGTAGGTTTGGCGCACTTATAACGAAGAAGGTTAAAAAACTGCTCATTTTCTGGTGTGTTAGTGTTAATTAAGAAGGATTACACAAACCCCTGGCTTATCAAATGAATAGTCTGAATATCTTGTCCAAGAATATATTATGTGGGAGAAGGGAATATAGTGAAAAATGTGGGAGGGGAGAGAGAGAGAGAGGAAGTTGGAAGAACAGATTCTAAATGGGGGGAGTTCATAGTGCAAGTTGAGAGTGGTTGGTGACGAGACTAGAGTGGTTGGGGTGTGTTTGACCTTCGTTCAGTAGTGGACGTTCCAACCCTCACACAGTTTGAATATGGAGCACGACTATGAATGGTCTATTTTTATATTTCTCGTTTATTTTTGTGAATATAAATGCGATAGGTTGCAAGTCATGATGAGATCCCAGAAATTAGATAATCTTCTTCAGTCTAGATTATAGGTTAGAGATGTTGTGTTTGGTTGAGAGATTTGAGTAGGGATATGGAAAGAGAAATGGAAAAGGTAGGTGAAATGTGAAAAAAAACATGCTTACATTTGACATAGTTTTACACACCTTTTTCCTTTCCCTTTTCAAATCCCTCTCAAAATCCTTCAACCAAACACAGTGTAAAAGAAATTCAATTCCATAAACAAAGGGAAATTCTAATATACATTTTTTAAAGGTGTATTTATGTTATTTTTTTTAGTTATAACTATTTTTTTTTTTTTTAGTTATGATATTTAACACGAATCCATGATTTAAACTGTGTTAGATTATATATCTACTTTGCTTAGAGGACATATATATATATATATATATATTTCAATTATGATTTAAAAAATTAAAATTATATCATTTTTTGTTATAATTATAAGGTGCATATTTTGTTGTCCATAAATAAATAGTAGTACTGATTTATAAAAAAGGAGGAGGTAAAAGGTCACTATTGATCATAACACCCTATTTTTTTATTCATTACCACCGTAGACGGTAGATCCATTTCAAAGGACCCTTCACTTCTTTTTGACAACTACAGGAATATTGATATTACATACACACACAAACATTAAAATCACTTCCACAATTTAAAAAACATGATGACAACAGACATAGTTGGACTTTGTTGTTTTTGTTTGTCTTTTATGTCTTTTTTTTAAAAAAATTTAAGACCAGACCCACCAGCCCAGTGGCTCTCCCTCCTCATGTTGTTGCGGTTCCACCGCCACAAACACCTCAGGTAACCCCGGCCGTCTTCACTACCATCATCCTCTACCGATTGGACAACACATCCAGGGTAGTCATTGTTTAGGAAGTAAGAGTCACCACTGTCCACAAGCTGTGGACCGTCCTCGTCCACCACCGCACTTCCACCGCTACCAGTGCTCAGGTGATCCTCTGCCTTCACATTGAGTTGTATAGTTGAAGTGTGGGTCACAATATCTTCCTCCTTCTCCGGAGGTGGTGGTAGTGGTGGTGGGTCAGATTTTGGAGCTGGTATGGGTGCTCCGGCAGCCACCTCTTTAGCTTGCAGCTTCTCAGTCAAAGAAAGAACCTGTAGACAGAGTCCTATTGCTGTTAGATTCACATATACTGGGCATATTTTCATGATGATGGTATATTCGATTGTGATTAGACAATGAAATTTATGTCTTTTTAATTCAAGGTGGTGGAGGTGGGTTTTAGAACATATGCTATTTTTATCTGACATGTTAACAAAAACAAACAAGAATTTGAACTGTTTGTGCTAATTGACACATAGATGTAGCTAAGGACGAATCTCATGGTTAGGACCCACTAGCTACAGCCAGTTCCCCATCATTTATACACAAGCACGGCCAAGGTGTTCTCATGGACAAGTTATTCAGTGTCCCTTGGGCACGGCCACATGCTCCAACTCGAACGCAATTGGTCAAAACAGTGAAGGTCCACTTATTTATGTTCGTTATTGGGGGAACTTCACTACGATTAATTTTCCCTTTCAGATTGTCATTGTTGTTTTGTTAAAAGAAATGTTAAAATTTTTACTTTTTTTTTAACATTGTTTGATTCGTAGCGAATGTTTAGAGAACAATCATTAGCAGAACCTTTTTTCTTTAACCGTTTTGAAGCAAAAGATTATATAATTTCATTGAAATTTTAATGATACGCATTGTCCCCTCAAGCAATATTGGCAAGTCAAGCCACAACTATATTTAATGTGTTTGATTTCAATTTTTTGAATTCAATTTTTTAAATTGAGTTTTTTATTATTTATATTATTTTATTTTTAGTGAATATTTTTAAAATTTTAAATAATTTTTTATTTTTTTATTTTTTTAGATACACCTTACTTAGATGTATTTAAAAAGTAAAATATTTATAAAAAAAATATTTTAAAAAATCAATAATAAATATACAAGAATATGAAAAGTGTATTGAATTCTTGTAATTTTTTTTTGTATTTTTTATATTTAGTGAAATTTCTAATTTTTTTATACAAATATTATACTTTTTAAGTATATTATAAGTGTATCGAAAATTTTAAAAAATTGTTTGGATATTAGAAAAATACGGAAAACAAAATTTTTTAATTTTCTAAAAGGTGAATCCTAAAAATTCAAATCAAACAAAATGATTGTTGTTTTTTAAGAAAATTTTGCATAACACAAATTGCACACGAAATCTGTCTGGTGGTGGAGGTGGGTTTTAGAACATATGCTATTTTTATCTGACATGTTAACAAAAACAAACAAGAATTTGAACTGTTTGTGCTAATTGACACATAGATGTAGCTAAGGACGAATCTCATGGTTAGGACCCACTAGCTACAGCCAGGTCCCCATCATTTATACACAAGCACGGCCAAGGTGTTCTCATGGACAAGTTATTCAGTGTCCCTTGGGCACGGCCACATGCTCCAACTCCAACGCAATTGGTCAAAACAGTGAAGGTCCACTTATTTATGTTCGTTATTGGGGGAACTTCACTACGATTAATTTTCCCTCTCAGATTGTCATTGTCGTTTTGTTAAAAGAAATGTTAAAATTTTTACTTTTTTTTAACATTGTTTGATTCGTAGCGAATGTTTAGTGAACAATCATTAGCAGAACCTTTTTTTCTTTAACCGTTTTGAAGCAAAAGATTATAATTTCATTGAAATTTTAATGATACACCAATAGTCCCCTCAAGCAATATTGTCAAGTCAAGACACAACTACATTTAATGTGTTTGATTTTAATTTTTTAAAATTGAGTTTTTTATTTTTTATATTATTTTATTTTTAGTGAATATTTTTTAAATTTTAAATATATTTTTTTACTTTTTTAGATACACCTACCTTACTTAGATGTATCTAAAAAGCAAAATATTTGTAAAAAAATATTTTAAAAAATCAATGATAAATATACAAGAATATGAAAAGTGTATTGAATTCTCGTAATTTTTTTTTTTTTTGTATTTTTGATATTTAGTGAAATTTCTAATTTTTTTTATACAAATATTATACTTTTAAAGTGTATTTATATTACAAGTGTATCTAAAATTTTTAAAAATGGTTTGGATATTAAAAAAATACGGAAAACAAATTTTTTTAATTTTCTGAAAAGTGAATCCTAAAAATTCAAATCAAACAAAATGATTGTTGTTTTTTAAGAAAATTTTGCATAACACAACTTGCACCCGAAATCTGTCTTGAAATTTTTTATTTTTTTCATGTAATGTACTCTTAAAAGTGTGGCAGTTTATGGAGAGAGGAGAGGAATGGATGAGAAATGAACTTGTACCTCAACTTTGAGCTTGTGGTTCTCTGTGTGAATAGAGTCATAGTCAGATAAGAGGGAATCATAGGAAGACTTGAGCAGATCAAAGTCCCTTTCTAGTTGTTTGGTCTTCCACCGAGCACGGCGGTTCTGGAACCACACCGCCACCTGCCTCGGCTGCAGCCCCAGTTTGTTCGCCAGCTGGCTCTTTCGCTCCGGCTCCAGTTTGTTCTCTGTCTCAAAGCTCTTCTCCAGCAAATGCACCTTTTAATTACCAAAAGCCAACCAACCAACCAATCAAAAGTTATTCAAAACTCCTGTATATACGAATTCTATTATTCTAGCTACAAAGAATAATATATATTTTCCTTAACTCGGAAAGTTATTCAAGTTGCAAAGCACTAATATACAAACATACTCATAAAAAATATACACAAATTTAGAATCTATCATTTTAAAACAAATGACCAACCAAAAATAGTTTTTAATTTCAAAAAATAAAAGTAAAAAAATACCAAACCATATCATTTGATGAAAATTTTTGAATTCAGTAAACAACATTGTCAACAAAAGAATATTTTAATGGCGACGTTAAAATTTTAATATTGCTAGTGGCTGTAGAAGTGATGGTGTTAATGGTGGTCGGAACGGCAGTGATGGAACGGTGGCGGTAATATTGGTGGAATGATGGTAACAGTGTGATAATATTAGTAAAACTTTAATACTATCATGAAAAATATTTTTCATAATATAAAATGTCACAAAATACAAAATACAAAAAAAGAAAAGAAAAGAAAAAAAATGACCATTTTTACCATAAAGAAATGAAGAGAATGTGATGCTGCTATGCTTCAGATAAAAAGGGAGACAAGTATGCAAGTATTTGAATATGCCAGGCATATCTCAAAGGAACTTATTAGAGAGAGGTGTCCCATATTCGGATCTACGCATCTTATCTGATCAAAGCTCGTCTAATATCTATCACGTATTGTAACTCAACGTGTGACAGGTTAAAAGTTTGATTTTTTTTTTTTTTTAAACTTTTTTGAAAAAATATATTAAAAAAAATGAAGTA